CTACTTTTGATTCCAAGAGGTTTTTGCTAACTTCTGAACAGAATAAAGAGCCACTGAAGTAATATATATTTATGTATGTACACTGACTAGCTACAACATTAAAACCACCTGCCTAATATTGTATAGGTTCCCCATCGTACTGCCAAAACAGCTCTGATGCCTCGAGGTATGGATATCACAAGACCTCTGAACCTGTCCTGTGGAATCTGGCACCAAGTCATTAGCAGCAGATCCTTTAATTCTGCAAGTTGCAGGTGAATCAGATTTGTTGTCCCAACACATCCCACAGATGCTCCATCTGATTGAAATCCAGGGCCGGTGCTTCCTATAGGCAGACTAGGCAGTGGCCTAGTGCGCTGTGTGATAGGGGGCGCCCGCAGGGGCTGTAATACTGTCTGAATCCCCCATGAGAGTATACTGGCAATGTTCACTCACCGAGAGCACAGAGACCCCGCCTCCGCCTGTGATACACCTGCCGACGCCCTCCCCTCACTGCTGCAGCCGTCATCCTTGTATTCCAGATTAAAATGCTTTCCGCAGATAATAGGAGTTATGATTGTAACTCCGCCTCTCCCCGCCCACAAACACTTAACTCTGCCCATCCCGCGATGAACTTCGCCTTTCCCCGCCCCAAACATTCTAACTCTGCCCCCAGTCTTCATCTTCCCCCTCCTCCCAAGTCCTGGAGGTTTGAAGAGGAGGGCAGTGGGAAGGCAAAGCTTCCATGTGCTGCTCCCCCTGTCCTGTGTCTGAGGAGAGACTGGCAGCATGACAACAGAGGAGGTACCACAGTCCCTAACTGGGCTGCTTCCAGTGCCCCTAGCCCCCATTTGGTATGTGTGTGTAAAGGCAATGGCGGTCTGTGTGTGTGAGTATGTAATTGGCAGTGTCTGTGTGTATTAGGGTGTGTGTGTGTATGTAATAGGCAGATGTGCTGCACCAGAGTGCACCTGCCTTCTCCCTTTCTCAATGAGCTGAACTAGAGCTCAATGGGGAACAATGGGAAAGCTGTGATTGAATGTGCATGCGCACAACTGCAGCCCCAGAACAGAAGCTTCTCAATCAGAAGCCTCTGATTGGAGGACTTGCATAAAAAAAAGGATATTTTATTTTGTGGTATATCTACTAAATTGTTAAAGGAAATCTGTGGAATGTTTCCTTTTGGAGTTTAGTGCATAAACATATGACACGATGGTACGAGCTTATGAGAGGGTGGCAAAATGGATCTATGCCTAGGGCACCGACCCTGTTGAGATCTGCGGAATTTGGAGACCAAGGCAACACCTTGAACTCAATGTCTTGTTCCTCACTGTGGAACTGTGTTGTGGTTTGACAGGGTACATTTTCCCGCTGAAAGAGGCCAATGCCAGAAGGGAACACCATTGCTATGAAGAGGTGTAAGTGGTCTGCAACATTCTATAGGTAGGTGGTACGTGTCAATTATCATCCACAGAAATGCCAGGACCCAAGGTTTCCCAGCAGAACATTGCCCAGAGCATAACACTGCCTCCCCCAGCCTGCCTTCTTCCCATAGTGTTTTCTGCTGCCATCTTTTCCCCGGGTAAACAACGCACACGCACCCAGCAATCTACCTGATCTAAAAGAAAACATGATTCAGCAGACCAGCGACCTTGTCTCATTGTTACATGGTCCAGTTCTGACTCTCACGTCCCCAATGAAGGCGCTTTCGGTGGTGGACATGAGTTATCATGGACACTGAATAGTCTGTGGCTAGGCAGCCCCATACACAGCAAACTGCAATACACTGTGTGTGCTTTTACCTTTCTATCATGGCTAGCATTACGTTTTTCAGCAATTCTTAGTAGTTCTTCTAGGTGATCGGACCAGATTGCTAGTTTTCACTCCCCACGTGCATCACGGAGCCTTGGGCGCCAATGACTTTGCCACCCGTTTACCGGTTGTCCTTCTTTACATTCTTTTGGTAGGTACTAACCACTGCATACCGGCAACACCTAAGAAGATTGCCGTTTTGTAGATGCTGAAACCCAGTTATCTAGCCATCACTATTTGGCTCTTATCAAAGTCACTCAGATCTTTTCGCTAGTCCATTTTTCCTGTTTCCAATACATGAAATTCAAAAACTGACTGTTCACTAGCTGCCTAATATATCCCACCACTTGACAGGTGCCATTGTAATGATATAATACATTTTATTTACTTCACTTGTCAGTGATTTTAATGTTGTGGCTGATCAATGTATATATATATATAGGTATGTGTGTGTGTATATTACATTGCATGGGGCCTTGCACTTGATGTTTCAATGTTATATGACCAGGTGCTCCCTGTAGTCAGTGAACTATAGATCCACAGTAATCACAGGTCAGTGGTTAACCTCTCTGTTTCAAATGCCAAATACATACGTAATTTAAAAGGACAATGCAGGCACCAACTCAACTTAAATATAAATATATATTATTTTCAGCTTTCTGCAAAATAACTCAATTTCATTAGTCATTCCTCCCTATTCACGACATTGAAGGGTAAACCGTATAGTTCAACCAATGGAAGATCACTGTGAACCAGTCTGATTCAGTCTGTCCCAAACATTGACACTCTTCCCTTTCAGAACCTGCAAGCAGAAACCCAGTGAAAGAAAAGCATGTCATTAGACCCGTACAAATCGCCTTTTACCTAAATAATACCGTGCCAAAGGAGTTTTCAGAACCTCCACTGGAAAATGAAAATAAGGATCTAAACCATAGAAATTTATTAAGAAAACAATAGAACTACATATTTTAAGCCAACACCAATTTTGCCATAAAAATTAAAACTGTTAAAAGGGTTACTCCAATCCTTGGGAAGGGTGTTTTCTAATTGAAGTGCTGTATTAGGCACTGTTAGCCCCCCTACATTTTGCAGCAAATTGGCCCAAAAAGTTAATTTAATTACCTGTGCTATGCAAAGCTCCATCCGACGTCAGCAAGTGCCTCGTGCAGTCCAATCAGAGACTTCTCATGGAAAAAACCTTTGACTGGACCTTTTCGCCTGCTCAGACCACATGCACGCAATCTGAGCCGACGAGGGTGGAATTTTGTATTATTTTTTTTTAAAAGCAATATTGATTGAAGGGATAGGGAAGCAGAGGGCTCAACTCAGTGAAGGAGGGAAGAAAACCATTTCCACTTGCACGCTCTGCCTGCAAGGGAGATACTCAATACGTCCATTGCCAGCTTGCAACGCTGTTATTGGACGTATTTTTTTAACAGAATGTACATTTGAACCAGGCTGCCAAAGTCACGTGTGCTGGGCGTGCAACTAGCACCAAGCACAAAAGTGCAGATTACTCTGTAGGTACAGCATTTCAGGCAGAAGCGCTGCATCTACAGATTCCTACCACCGTAACCACTTCAAATCCCTGAAGTTGTTGTGGTAGTTGTCATAACCATTTAAATGATCATGATTATTATGATATTTATAGAGCGCCGTCAAATTCTGCAGCGCTTTACAATGGGTGGACGAACAGACATGTATTTGTAACCAGACAAGTTGGACACACAGGAACAGAGGGGTTGAGGGCCCTGCTTACATTTACAATGAGCTTTCATTTACAATTCCTTGATAGCTGTCATTTCAGCTATCTAATGACTTACAATGCATTGTGTTGCATATATTTACTTACAAGAATCTAGTATTAGCAGCAAAACTGCTGCTAGAAACTCTTAACTCCCATGACTCCTAGCCAGCCGAGTTACTAAACGTTATGGTAGACATAGTTCACACCATCTCAGCTACAAAAGGTTGGTCATTACTCTCTGTAATTACAGGAAACCTTCATTTTGAAATGCTATGCAGAATGTTAATTTTCGGGTCAATTAATTTCCCTCTGAATGGATGGAAGTCCAAAAGCAATCTGTACTACATTATAGCCAGTGTATATTATTCACGGGCCGCAGGTTTTACGGCACTGGAAGGTGTCTTGCACTATAACACTGCTTAGATTCTCAATGCCATTGTTGTTCTAATCCAAGATAAATGATTATTACAGTAATAAGTTGTAACATTGCTATAGTTATTGTAATCACTAATAAACATTTTTATTTGACAGTCAGGGTTTTGAGATGGGAATGTGTGGATCTTTGATCTGAGCCTGTTACTTCAATAAGTAGTATGTTAATAATAGATTTTTAAAAAGGAAATAAGAGTTGAATTTTTCCCCAGAGTTTCATGGTTTCAGTAATTTTACATTTCTTAGAACAGGGGTTTTAAACTCCTGAATTGGCACCCAAATCTGGATCCATAATAGTTGGAATAAAAATCGCAAATTCATCATGCGCCAGTCTGCGGCCAACGATGATCTGTGTTCTGTAGACCTGCCTTCCAGAGCCACTGGAGACCCCTTTGACGACAATGGAAAAATACAAATTGTGTTGCAAAAGCTATTTTAATGTGTATTATACTGCAACCAAAGAATGGGTCACCGAATTGATTTTATAATGTAAAGGGACACTCTAAGTACCAGAACCACTGCAGCTTAGTGTAGTTGTTCTGGTGCAATAAACCTGTCCCTGCAGCCTCAGCAAAGCAATGCCGTGTACACAATTTGTGTATTGAAAAAGGTTAAGAACTATTATTTTAGAGCATTTATGTTTAGCGGCAAAACCGTGCTTTGTGCTTTTTGTGGTAAAACATATTTATTAACTCAGCTGAGTTCAACTCCCTTTTCAGTCTACCATCAGAAGCTCCCACTTATAATAATCATATTAGGCTTGCAGATTATTCTGTGGACATGAAGGGGCTGGTACTAGTTCGACCCAAAAGGCAAATACGCACATAGTTAATTAATCTCCTATTCTAAGAAGGGAAATCACTAGTAATGGCTACCTCAGAAATCTACCTAAAGATCTTGGGAAATGTGGGCTGAAAACTTTTGTAATAACCACATTAGCCTTACTAGTCTCACGCTTTACAAATTATTCAACTGCCAGCGGAGAAAGCATTCACCCACTGAGAATATGGTGTTATATGGTCTAATAAATTATCCTTCGATCAATTTATTAGACGTGTTTCCCATCAGCACTTTTATTAAAATACCCATTGCCTGCTACCTAGTGTCCCTCTGCTTTCTTGTGAATTTCTCGATCTCCAATTTCAAATTCAGCTCCCACTGGGAGTCTTCTAAAAGACAGATTTGGACAATGTGAATCCGTTAACATTATAAAAGCTTTAATAAATAAAATAATGCCGCGGAGGGGAAAAAAAATCACAAATGGTTTTCAACTAGTATTGGTGATACTTATGGTATAAACATACAGAAGTGCACACACACAGAGACAACAGACCAGTCTGTACAAAACAAGCTGCTATTTACCTCTGTAATTTACCTATGTAACAATGGTGATCAGGTTACAAAATGCTTATCCGTTATGGGATGTCCTAAATGTAAGCTATGATCATAGGAAATTAGATGGGAGTTTAGGACGTGCCAGAATAGGGCTAAAGGAGTGCGTTATATGGGCGTATTATGCAACTAAATCTCTTATTTATGACAGCAGTTTTTTTTATAAGCTTATTATACGTTCTTGATTTTATATGGAGTGCGCTGACATGAACATACAAAAGCCTTTTATGTACTAATATATTGCTATATAATGGATTATACCCAAGCAAATTACTAATCTTTTCTGATAAAGTATTCTTCTTTTGCCAGTGGAATTTGAACAAGGTTTTAACAGGTGATCCGTGAAAAATCATTTGAAAACACATTTTCAGAAATGGCTACTTTTTTTTTTTTTTTTTTTTTAATGAACAAAATTTTCCTCTGTCATTGCATGTCTCATTGTAAAAGTTAATCCGGTGTTGACAATGATAGAAATTGCAGTCCTGGTAAATCTAGGTGGATTTTGCAAGTCTTCATCGAATTTATCACAGTTCTGTAACTTTAACCCATTCGTGATAAAGAATTAGGCAAATCCCATTATATTCTTGTCACACATGATACGACAGTGGCCATTAAGGGATTGAATGACTCCCTGATGAGCTGTGTTGTTCTATAAAGTGAATAGGTGATCAATTACTATTTATCCCTTAATGGGCCGCACACACCGTGACCCTTATTTGTCTCAGTGGCTCCTTGCCGGAAAGACGCAATTATTAAATCAATCATGTTGCTTGGTTAACAAAACCAGCTTTGACCTTGGTTAGAACATTCAAGGTCATTCCTTCCTGTACCACGTTTCCTTAAACTGTATTAATGCCACAGCTCTCCAAACATGTGTGCACCTTCGTGGTGAAGCTATAGAGATATGTCATTTTCTCTCTCTCTGTAATAATGTAGAAGATGAACTGACAGATTTCACAATATCCTCGGCTTTCTGTGCCAGTCCCTTACAATAAATTGTTTCCTGCCATTTATAACATCCACCTAGAGACTCACCTTCACCTTGTCCTTATAGAGATTGTTTCACAAATGTGAAGACAGATAGAATCAAAGTTCTTTAGAATTCTTTTATCCGAGATGTCATTTAAATCCTGCCTGTAGGAATGGTTTCACTCTTAAAGAGACACTGTTGCATATGAGATAAAAGCATTTTTAGATCCACACATGTCTTGTGTTGCTTGTTGTTAACTATGTTTTAACACAGTTTTTTTTTTTTGTCAATCATATTTTATTGAGTGAGAATAAAGTATCGCAAGCAAATTGGGTTGTCACACTTTTTTTTTCTTTATAATTCTTTATTTTTGTCATGTATTGTTTGTCATAATAAGCAAGTAAAAAATATGTTAACATACATCAGAGTAACATCAGAATTAGCATTCAGGTTATATAGTATTTGACGGTATAATATCGCATGGAATCAGTATATTATGCACTTTTTATATCTAAGAACAAAATGGATATGCAACCAGGGGCTATTGGTTGGTAGGTTGATAGGACTTAGTTGATACTCGAGATGCATATTATAAGCTGGTAGGTAGGTTAGGTGTGTTTTGCGTGAGAAAATCCAGCTAGGAGCATGGTCAGGCCATCAGGCCAGATGTTATGCATCTTGATTGGTTACCCCTAACCAAGGGGGTGGGGGGGAGGATAGGACGCCATACTTCTGGGTAAAAAAAGGAGCAGGAGGTAATTAAACCTGCCTCCTTATGAAAGACTCAGTCTCCGTGTTTTTAACCACTTGGAACACTTAGTAGTCTAACATTAAAAAACTATTACATGTCAACCTATGCAAAGGTGCAAAAAAAAAAAACAACAATATCTTGTGCTTATTAGAAAAAACTTCTGCTCTACTGCCTGCAGGTGGTCTCGTTGGGTCAGTACCGGTGTTTGGGATAGTCAGGTATCCAAGTCCTGTGATCCTCCTGCTCTCGGAACAAAAGGATTAACATTGGCAGGGTCTTAAAGGACCACTATAGTGCCAGAAAAACATACTCGTTTTCCTGGCACTATAGTGCCCTGTGGGTGCCCCCACCCTCAGGGTCCCCCTCCCGCCATTCTCTGGGAGAGGAAAGGGTTAAACACTCACCTTTCTCCAGCGCCGGACGGGGAGCTCTCCTCCTCCTCTTCGCCGGAATGCGCATGCGCGGCAAGAGCTGCGCGCGCATTCAGCCAGTCTCATAGGAAAGCATTCATAATGCTTTCCTATGGATGCTTGCGTCTTCTCACTGTGAAAATCAAGAGACAGCCACTAGAGGCTGTATTGACCTATTTATAAACATAGCAGTTACTCTGAAACTGCTATGTTTATAAAAAAAATTGGTTAACCCTAGCTGGACCAGGCACCCAGACCACTTCATTAAGCTGAAGTGGTCTGGGTGCCCAGAGTGGTCCTTTAAGCTTCCCCAAGAGTACCCGTGGTCTAGGTAGTAGGTACATAAGATAGTCCCAAGGCTGCCAGGAAGGTGGGTGCTGCATCTAGTGACATAAGGTTGTGTGTAATCGCCTTGTGGGTCACCATGAGGGAGCCCATTGTTTCCCATCTGTAAGGTAGTCCAGCATTGCGCAGTTGAGCTGTGACAGGATCGAGGGACTTTCTCCAGGGCAGAGTGGTTCTTGTAAGGTCTTGAAAAAAGGAAAGTTGCGAGTCCTTAAAGGCCAGGGGTGTCTTACTATTTAGGGCCAGCATGATTTGGATCTTATCGTGGAGATTCACACAGCGTAGTATGACATCTCTGATCATAGTGGGGGGTGCTCTTGTGGAGCCTGAAATACTGTAGATCCCATTTATGGCGATCTTCTTGGCAGTAACATGTGGCAGGATCATCGCCAAACATACATCATCGCGGCAATTCGTCGGCTGTAACCGCTGCGGGTATGCCCCAGATTTCAATATGATTATGGTACTGTCTGTTTTCCAAAGATGTCATGTGTGCTGTTAATGCCTTATGATCAGTGAAAAGTTGTTGAACTGAGTACCTGAGGAAGGACAGGTTAGATTATAGGTCTGTAATCTGTTCCTCTGCCGTTTGCATTCTGTCTGTGAAAGTACGTTTGGACCAAATCAGGACTCTAGCGGTGTCGTCTAGGAGTGTTCCCTTTATGAGACGTCTTAGTATCTTTAATTCATGGAGCTTGTCAGGGGATGGATTTGTCTTGTGTTGTTGTTTGGCCTTACGTATGTTATTGAGTAGGGTTTTAATTTTTGAGTTTTAGCTTTCTTTTGATGAACATCCTTTCTGTGTGAAATTAGAACAATTTATTTTGAAAAGGAACATGCATTATATCATTCCCAGCTAAGGGATGTACGGTAGTGGAACTGTAGAGACCATGACCACTAAAGGCAGTGTGCTGGTGATGCAAATATCAGCACTGTAGACATGGCGTGTGGTGATCCCAAAAGTTAATTTTCAGTGCCAGCACGCCAACTACGCCCGTAATGGACTGATTGAGCACCTTCAGTGACATTATCTCTTGGTACTGTGGAGGGACTTTTGCTCGTGTACGCAGTAAGTAATTACCAGAAAAAAAATTTCAGGATGGCGAAATTAGGGTTGCAAATCCAGAATATTGAAAAAGAAACCTGACCATTCCTCTTATAACAGAAAATTACAAGAAGCAATTGATTTATTGTCTATTCCAAGGTTATAAAGTCCCATAGCTTAAAAAGTTTTTCTTAGCTTTGTTACCAAATTCTAGCTTTCTACTAAGATTTAGTTATGTCTTTTTTTTTTTAATTCCTCAGATTATTTGCAGATAGTCCGTGTATCATTCTGTCATCCTTTAGTCCAGTGTTTCCCAACCCAGTCCTCAAGGCACACCTACCAGTCCAGGATTTAGGGATTACCCAGTTGTGTCTAAGGTGTTTTTTTTCTTCCTTGTAAAAACACCTTAGACACACCCTGTAATCCCTAAATCCTGGACTGGTAGGTGTGCCTTGAGGACTGGGTTGGGAAACACTGCTTTAGTCTATACCTGCCTATTTCCAAGATTTAAGACGCCTCTTCATCAGATCGTTTCGGCATTCCAGGCAAGGCTCCAGAAAAACATATTAACGCAACATTATCAGCATTTAATGGGGCCGTAGGCCTTATAAGAGAGGTTGTGGATACATGTATCATTACAGCAATTGATTTTTTTTGTTTAACTTTTAATATTTAAAAAGCTTGTCTGCTTCCTTAATAATCAAACTACTTCCTGTTGGCAGATGACACGGCTATAGATCCTACAGATACTGAAATTGGAGCAGCAAGATGTTAGATTTAAGAAACAATACTATTAGATTGTGAAGAATTCTTAGGAACATAACTCTGTGTCCATCTAACCCAGGGGTAGGCCACGTGCGGCACTCCAGATATTGTGGACTACATCTCCCATAATGCTCTAACAGACAAACTGCTGGCAAAGCATCATGGGAGATGCAGTCCACAAAATTGTGAGTGCAAACGGGTGCCTATCCTTGATCTAGCATAAGAATTCCTTCAGCAGATTGGTGAATCACTCTTATGATAAACGTATATTAAATGGTATATCTGTGAAAGGGGAAAAACGTGGGGTGGAGAAAATGGAGACGAGAGAGTAAAAGGTGCAGACAGTATCCTCCGCCCCCTGCCACCCCCCAAATATTTTTCTGAGCTTTATTACTATGTCTTATTTCCAGAAGGTGCTGAGTTTGTCTTTGTCACAGTTATTGGGATGGTGATCATCATATAACAATAAAAATCTGGTTATTTTCATAGCTGGCTGAACAATGTGAACAAATATATTCAGATGAGATGTAAAATTACTCCGAGAGATTAGATAAGGACAGAGAATGGAATCATGCCTTTAGAAGGATTGTTAGAGGGACAATTTGCAACTATAGTTGTGATTAACGGTGCAGCCACAGAATATTAATATACATATATATATATGTCCCCAGCAGACAGTGTGATAGTACTAGATACTTGTGATAGTATCTAATATTTGAACAGTAACAGAAATGTATCAGTGTTTCAGACACAATTTAGGCTTTGATCAAGATTAATACAAAGTATAATAAGATCAAATATATAGACACAAACAAGTAAGACTCTCTACTGGTGCTGCAAAAATTCCTGGGAGTGATA